TACCAGGGATTGAACTCAGGGGCACTCAACCACTGAGCCACATCCCCAGCCCTATTTTGTATTTTATTTAGAGACAGGGTCTCACTGAGTTGCTTAGCACCTTGCTTTTGCTGAGGCTGGCTTTAAACTCATGATCCTCCTGCCTTAGCCTCTCAAGCCACTAGGATTATAGGCATGCACCACCGTGCCCAGCTCAACCATTTCTTTCAGCAAAATAAGGCCAATCTGATGGGCTCCGTTGGCTAGTCCTTCAAATGACCTAGATCCTTCTCTAGGCCTTTCCCTGAGTGCCCCCGAGTTCCTAGGAAGGGGCTGGGCAGATGGACCCAGAGGGCAGAGTGGGGCTTACTGTAATTGTTGAGAGCAGATTGCTGACCTGAAGAAAGTTCCTGTTGAACCTGTTGCTCCACCCCCACCCCTGCCTCATCTCCACCCCATGGCCACCATCCTCTGGCAGAGCTCATCCCTCCAGTTCTCAGCCAAAGAAGCATTCTTCCCTGCAGCTGCTGTCTGTCCCTTAGCTGGCAGAAGTAGGGAATGGGCCTAGAGCTCACTCTGCTGCCCTAAGTTTGGGCTCCAGGATGCCCCCAGTGCCTCATTGCAGCCTGTTTGTTTTTCTAGGTGGCACAATTCTGGAGAGCACCAGCCACACTGGACTCTAGCAATAATGGCCACTGGAGTTGAGCAGTGTGGAGGCCCTGCCTGCACCCCTCCCGAGTTGAAGTCGTTCCCCATCCCTGGGTGTTCCTATCTGCTCTTTGATCCTGTGGGCCCTACAGCGTGGTTCTGAGCCAGTCCCCTGGGGTGAAGCCCTGATACAACCCCCCTCCCTGTTTCCACAACTCCCCCCAGAAGTCAGCTCCAGACTGCCCCTGCCTCTGTCATGGCCTAGACACTGGAATTGCTGCTTACCGTGCCCCACTAGGTCAGGCCACTTGAATACAAACCTTGGCCCTATCTGGCTCGAGACCTGTTACTTTTCAAATAATAATAGCAAATATAGAGTCTCCTCCTAGGTAGTGGTAGGAATCTGGACTCATGCTTTAGAATCACCTGGGAGATGTGCTAGAAATACAGATTCCTAGCCCTCTTCTGTGAAGATTCTGGTCATGGGAAGGGCCCAGATGTGTGCATTTTAGCAGGGCTTTGGGGTGATTCAGTGCAGGTAGAGTTCTCTGATCACACTGTGAACAATGCTACCCTAGATGTCAAGCGGGGATTTCCCCAGAAGCTCCTAGAATAGAAGGGGCATTTATTTTACTGGTTGAGGGGTGCAGGAGACCATATGAATGGAGACCATTCAAGGTTGAGGGAATTCTAGTATAAAAAAGGCTGATACAGTGGGTATAGGGGTAGAAAAAGGAGATCAGCCAGCCTTTGGCAGATGGAGATGGTGGGAGCTGGCAGAGAAGGAGGGGATGGTCATGAGACTGGGTTTGGAGCACGTGGCAGTATGTTTTTAGTTATTGCACTTAAGAAAAGCCAGTCTTCAGTGCACCCTTTGTCTGTGTTAATTACTGAAAGCATGGAGGTCCTTAGGAAGACTCCTGGAGATCTGATGGGATCTCTGCTTCTGCAGACAGAGAGAACTGCTCAGAGCCTACAATCCTCTGGGGAGACTGCAATGACAGGAAACAGTAGCATGGCCAGATCCATGTCACTGCATCACGGGACCTTAAGTTTCACTTGCATTTTTCTTTCCTGCCATCCATGAGCTACTGTGAGGACCAGCATTAGCCCTGCTGATTGGGCCCGTCCATGTACCATACCCAGTGTGTACTCTGCAGGGACAGTCTCCCTTGAGCTCTTGGCAATGCCAAGAGGCAGGTGCTGCTATTCTTCCCATTTCATAGCAGGGGAAATTGAGGCTCAGAGAGAGACGGAGTGGTTTGCAAAGGGTCAGACAGGCCATCAGCAGCAGAGTTGGATTCAAACCCAAGTCTATGCCCAGAGCAGTAATGCATGCCTATAATCTTAACAGCTCAGGAGGCTGAGGCAGGAGGATCACAAATTCAAGGCTGTCCTTGGCAATTTAGTGAGATCCTATCCCCAAATAAAGCATATTAAAACAAGGTGGGGGGCTAGGGATATAACTCAGTGGTAGAACACCCTTGGGTTTAACTCCCAGTACAGCAAAGAAAAACGAAAAACCCAGGTGTACTCAACAACTCAAACCACGCTGTCCACCACTATTCTCACCTGCCTGTCTAGGCCAGGGGCTTTCCTTTGTTCCTGCATCTCCCAACAGCCACTAACCTCTGGGTGTACCAAGAGCATCCTAATTTAGCTATACTTCAAAGAACCTGTGACAGACATCATACTTATTAAATTCTAGAAACTGATCTCCCCAATACCTTCTCTCCCAAGAAAGTAGATGGAGAAAGCCCTTCAACCACAAGAAAAATAAGAAAAAATACCAAAGGGGAACAAAGAAACACTGTTCCTTCTTACTCTTTTACTCTTACTCTGGAGATTATGCCTGGGGAGCAGGGTACCTGGGGAAAAGAGGAAGGAGGGACCCCAGGGACTGCTCAACTTCCTCCTGCTTCAGGTAGGGGAAAAAAGGAAAGCACTCTGATGTCTGCTCTCTGAGGATTTGGGGGTAGAGGGGTGTGATCAAAAGGGGATTTCCCAAAAACCCCAGAATGCCAGCTAGTAGTTTTCACTTTTGACCTTCCTGTGTGAAATTTGATTGTTTTTTTTTTTTTTTACCTGCCATCTCTTCCTTACAAGGAAATGAGATGATAAAGCAGATTAAGCTAACAGAAAACTTTTAGATAAGACTGGAAGAAGTTTGGAGGTGGCAAGTATGTCATCTCCATGGGCTGATAGAATAGTGACAAGTAGGTACCCGATGTGAGCTTCCTGGAGCCAAGGCAAAAAGAGGAAGCCTGCCCTCTCTCGTGGCTCTCTTGTTAGAATGAAGTAGCATTCCAGTTTATCTGAGGAGATTGTTCTTCCCGACTCCATGTTCTAGAAGAATTTTGTGGGATGGTAT